ACGCACACACACACCCTATGTGACCAACCTTAGCACAATTGTTGTCTACCCTCCCAGGGTGAATGGAAGGAAAGAGTTTATTATTTGGCCATGTTTTTTTGCTGCTGCTATTGTTGTTGCTATTACTGCTGTCCTACCTTCTATTTATTTATATATTCAGACGACATAAGTCTAAACAATTTTTATTGTCGTTGTGTTGTGTTGTTTTTTTATATTATACGTTTTACTTGTTCCTTCTTCCCGTCACTTCGTTGCAAGTATATGTATGTCCATGACAAGCGAAACGGTCGTACCCATCAGAACTGGGGAATTCATAGCAAAACAAGTTAAGACCCATAGTAATAGCAATTGATTTTATGATGATTTTCAGTACGCCACGTACTGAAGTCAAAATAAAATAATAATAGAATACCAGTCGAAATGACATGGTCGATAGAAGGCCTAGGGTAAGAGAGAGGGCGGGGGAGGAGTAGCAGGAATTGAATTAATAAATGGTGGCAATTAAAAAATATTTTTAATAAATCCACGCCTATTGGTGGCAATTAAAAAATATTTTTAAAATATTGGTTTAAAAAATATTTTTAATAAATCCACGCCTATTGGTGGCAATTAAAAAATATTTTTAATAAATCCACGCCTATTGGTGGCAATTAAAAAATATTTTTAATAAATCCACGCCTATTGGTGGCAATTAAAAAATATTTTTAATAAATCCACGCCTATTGGTGGCAATTAAAAAATATTTTTAATAAATCCACGCCTATTGGTGGCAATTAAAAAATATTTTTAATAAATCCACGCCTATTGGTGGCAATTAAAAAATATTTTTAATAAATCCACGCCTATTGGTGGCAATTAAAAAATATTTTTAATAAATCCACGCCTATTGGTGGCAATTAAAAAATATTTTTAATAAATCCACGCCTATTGGTGGCAATTAAAAAATATTTTTAATAAATCCACGCCTATTGGTGGCAATTAAAAAATATTTTTAATAAATCCACGCCTGAAAAAATAGGTCCATATTTTTAATAAATCCACGCTTAGGATGACCCTTAAAAATATTTTTAATAAATCCACGCCTATTGGTGGCAATTCGACCAAAGGACAGAAGAGGAGCATTGGCCTGCAATACAGGAGTTTTCATGCAATATATATTTATCAATAAATACACGTCTTAAAAGGTCCTTGTAATAATATTTTCAATAAAAACACGCCTTAAAAGGTCTCTGAAAAAAATTTAATAAATACACGTTATAAAAGGTCCTTGAAACTATTTTTCAATAAATCCTCGTCTTAAAAAGGCCTTGAAAAAATATTATTAAACAAAAACAAAGCTTTGTAAGGTCATAGACAAATTTTCTATAATAAACACACGCCTTGGATGGTCTTTTGAAAAAATATTCTTTAACAAAATCACGCCTTGGATGGTCCTTTGAAAAAACAGACCTTGGATAGTCCTTTGATTTTTTTTATAAATTAAAGGCATGTGAGTTGTCAAAAAATTAAAAAAAAAAATAAATTGGATGGCCATTGAACACATCAATGCATTTTTCATAGACATCTCAGCATCAATTTATTTTAGACAAATAACACAAAATTTATTTACCTTTCCAATTAATTAAGTCATTCCGAGCAAATACCTATTTTTTCATTCATTCTTCTGTTTTATGAACCTTAATCAATTTAATGCTAAATTTATTTCATTTTCTATGTCTTCCTCAGTAATGTTTTTCAATTCTCAGCTTATTTCTAATGTTTCCCCCCTTTTAAATTATTTTGTCATTACAGTTCTTCCAGAACAACCCATAATATTGGATCGTTGGGGTCGTCAATTGAATGGCACCAAATTGGGTCCGAAACAGGAAGGTGATGATATTGTTATCACATGTCGTGTTGTGGGAGGTAAGTTTACTGAGTTTAAAACCAAACGAAAAAAATGAAACGAATTTAACAGCTAGCTATTAATACTGTTCACAGAATTAGAACCCAAAAAATATATCTTCTTTCCCTTAGCCTTAACAAGGCTTTTAAATGTCCACCTGTTCTAAAAACAGAACTTTTTTCTTCTCCCCCTCCCATCACACACATAACAACCCACACTAAAGTAATCTTCAAATGACAACTGTTGGCCAGGCTAACACATACGCACCCCTGGCCAATTTTTCTTTTAAATCCCCCTACTTATGTGTGTATGTTTGCCGGAAGGGGACACCCATTCCACATTCGCTACTATAGCTTTTAAACTAAGGCTTGTCAATGGATTTGTCTTTCCCTGTTTTTGTGTTGTTGGAATGTGAGACTTTTGTGTGTTATTTAAGAATTCAATTTCCTTTTTAATTTCCCAAACGCATTAACACACCATTACATTGTCAGACAACAATGTGGGGTACTCCAAGGCCTTTATAAAGACCAATTGGTCTTTATAAAGACCACAGGTCTTTATAAAGACCAATTGGTCTGTGTAGAGACCACAGGTCTTTATAAAGACCAATTGGTCTGTATAGAGACCACTGGTCTTTATAAAGACCAATTGGTCTGTATAGAGACCTCCGGTCTTTATAAAGACCAATTGGTCTGTATAGAGACCTCCGGTCTTTATAAAGACCAATTGGTCTGTATAGAGACCTCCGGTCTTTATAAAGACCAATTGGTCTGTATAGAGACCTCCGGTCTTTATAAAGACCAATTGGTCTGTATAGAGACCTCCGGTCTTTATAAAGACCAATTGGTCTGTATATAGACCACAGGTCTTTATAAAGACCAATTGGTCTGTATAGAGACCATAGGTCTTTATAAAGACCAATTGGTCTGTATAGAGACCATAGGTCTTTATAAAGACCAATTGGTCTGTATAGAGACCCTCCGGTCTTTATAAAGACCAATTGGTCTGTATAGAGACCTCCGGTCTTTATAAAGACCAATTGGTCTGTATAGAGACCTCCGGTCTTTATAAAGACCAATTGGTCTGTATAGAGACCTCCGGTCTTTATAAAGACCAATTGGTCTGTATAGACCTCCGGTCTTTATAAAGACCAATTGGTCTGTATAGAGACCTCCGGTCTTTATAAAGACCAATTGGTCTGTATATAGACCTCTGGTCTTTATAAAGACCAATTGGTCTGTATAGAGACCTCCGGTCTTTATAAAGACCAATTGGTCTGTATAGAGGCCTCGAGGTCTTTATAAAGACCAATTGGTCTGTATAGAGACCTCATGTCTTTATTGAGACCAATTGGTTTGTATAGAGACCTAAGGTATTTATAGAGACCAATTGGTCTGTATAGAGACCAATTGGGTGTGTATAGAGACCTCCGGTCTTTATAAAGACCAATTGGTCTGTATAGAGACCTCCGGTCTTTATAAAGACCAATTGGTCTGTATAGAGACCTCCGGTCTTTATAAAGACCAATTGGTCTGTATAGAGACCTCCGGTCTTTATAAAGACCAATTGGTCTGTATAGAGACCACCGGTCTTTATAAAGACCAATTGGTCTGTATAGAGACCTCCGGTCTTTATAAAGACCAATTGGTCTGTATAGAGACCTCCGGTCTTTATAAAGACCAATTGGTCTGTATAGAGACCTCCGGTCTTTATAAAGACCAATTGGTCTGTATAGAGACCTCCGGTCTTTATAAAGACCAATTGGTCTGTATAGAGACCCCCGTCTTTATAAAGACCAATTGGTCTGTATAGAGACCTCCGGTCTTTATAAAGACCAATTGGTCTGTATAGAGACCTCCGGTCTTTATAAAGACCAATTGGTCTGTATAGAGACCATAGGCCTTTGTAAAGACCAATTGGTCTGTATAGATACCAAAGGTCTTTATAAAGACCAATTGGTCTGTATAGAGAACAAAGGTCTTTTTAAAGACCAATTGGTCTGTATAGAGAACAAAGGTCTTTATAAAGACCAATTGGTCTGTATAGAGACCACCGGTCTTTATGAAGACCTATTGGTCTGTATACCAAAGAGGTCATGAGAGGCCTTCATGAAAGGCCTTGTTTACATAGAAGAGTTTATGAGAGACCTTTTATATATAGAAGATCTCATGAGACAAATTTTGCAATGCTAGATCCCATATATGACTGCCGCACATGTGGTCTCTCACGCAAATCCACAAGACACATTTATTCGCCCAAAAAATCTCACAACTGTTAGAGTTTTCGTTTGTTTTTTTTGTGCTCTGCAAATTTTTTTCTATTCACTTTTTTGGACGAAAGGAATAAAATGCTATTTCTGTGAACAGTATTTTTTTCATTCATTTCCTCTCTGTATCTATCTCTCTGGCACATTGTTAAAGAATAAAACTGATTTTCTATTTCCTATTTCGTATTTTTTTCCATTTTTTATGGCTACATTTTTTTTCTAATTTGGTAATGCCTGGTGTCTGCTGGATGGATATATGGATGAATACTTTGGTTAACGGCTGGTTGTATTTGAATCTTGTGGAAAACCGAAAAAAATCTACCCACAATTTTTTGCTGCCGCTCAACTTTACTCATGGAACCCCCCAAATCTCAAACAAAATCGCATTGCAACCGGCTTAATGGAAAATCGCCTTTCAAAACACCCGTACACATTCACACACCCATCCATACTCACTTACGGTGTTTATTGATTTGAATCGCCCCGCTAAACACCCTCCCACACCACTACACAAAAAAAAGGACGACCACAACCACAAGTACGATGGCTGGTCAATGGTCTGCTAGTGGACAACCAATATGAACATTATTCCGGTGATGTTATCGAGAATCGTTTACTATGGCCATCAGTTCAACGAACGGATTTAAATTCCGTTTTCACATGCCAGGCTCTGAATACGCAATTAGACAAGCCCAAAGAAAAGAGTTTCATCTTGGATATGCATTGTAAGTATTAACCAAAAAAAAAACAAAACAGAAAAAATGAAAGCATGGCAAAAGAACATCACCAGACTAATGGAAAAAGAAATTTCCCACACATCCATAGAAATGGGGAAAAAACTAGACAAATTTTGTGTGGTCCAAAATACGTGGCAACAGATTTGCAGCAGGAATTGTTAATGGAATAAAAATGAGACTTGATTGAATTGAATGAAAATGATAAAACTTTAAACATTTTATGGTATCAATTAATTTCCAAAAGGGAATACTTAAACATTAGGGATTCTTCGATTCGTGAAATGATTAGCTTTGAAATTTATTCTGGGTTTTAAGCAGTTTGTCCTAAATTACATTATCCCCATTTTTATCAAGTATATAACTAAATGAGCAGTTTATTTCGGCCTTCATTTTTGGATGACCAAACTTTTCAATATGGATTTGAAATAGACAGGTAGAATTACATTTGCTGCGTTTGGTTCTCATTGGGTATCAAGTCTTCCCACCGAAAATGATCAATATTGGTCTACTTTTTAGGATAGTCCCCTGTAATGGCAGCCGCAATTATTCTGTGAGGGTTTGGACACGTTTTCTAACCGAATTGGCTCTAAGTTGATTTTTAAGGGTTCCCATAGGGTGTCAAATATTCCTACTAAACATATTGATTCACTGTTTAGGAAATAAACTAAACTAGAAAGGTAACCTCCCATTTTCAGAAATTTTTGAAAATTATGGCCACATTTCCAACCCATGGGACAGTAATTTGGTATAAATAATTCAGGAAGGTTGTCTTATACACAAATTTTGGCGGTGTATGTATAGGTTCAAGTTTTAATATAACCCCACCTAAAAGTTCAACTTCTTCTTCGGTATTAACAATTGTTAACCGAATTTTCTAATGGATGAGGCTATAATTTGAAGAAAATTAAATCTGCATAGTAGTATAGTCGGAAATGGGCCGACCAAATGATACCACACACAACAACCACGGAACATGAACTTTCTGCGGATCTATTCCGAGTATGGGATATATTTCCAACATTACATCACCAGCTTATCCTTCTTACCCTGGCATATTTTCCGAATTTTGATTTGCCGGGGTGAACATATACGCCATTAAATGCAAATATTTTAATTTACGCACAAAGGTCTTGGTGGATTTTACCCGCTGAATATTAACCGATCATCAGCCAGACCTAATTGGTTAGCCAGATTTCATTCCACATGGAACATTTGTGATGCTCGAATTTTTGAGTCTAGAGCGAATAGAAAACCAGAGAACTATATAGTTTATCTGCAAAATATCATATGATCAGTGGCCGATCTTCATCAAAACTGTCATTCATAATATATGGTCAGAAACCTTACTCTGTGTAAAATTTCATGATGTTCAGGTTATAATTGTGGCTCCTAGAGATACTAAATATTGATCGATCATTATAGGTCTACATAACCTATACTATTTGCAAAATGTCGTGACGGTTGGTCCATAAATGTGACCGCAATCGTGTTTACAAATTATAATGGACAGACGGACGGACACACATGTCTAGACCAACTCAGCTAGTCGAGATATGACGATCGGTAAACTAAAATGTGAGTTTGCGATCAATATTTGGCGACAAACTTTTGGAGCCACCCAAACCTATAATACCTTTACCTCTGGGTTTAAAAAATATAAAACAATGTATGTAAAGGTTTCAGCCATGCTGACATTTTTCTAAGTTCGTGATCATTTGGTTTCCATTCGTCAATCTAATTCGCGGTAGGTCGCCTTTGGAAGACCCATGAAATAGAGGCGAAATAAGACAGGGCATTCTTTTTCTAGCTCTCACCAAATCAGAATTTAATTCTTGGTGATATCTACTCATCTTAAAGAGTTTAGAATCTGGCTGGTTAATATCCAGCTCTTTCTCAATAACGATTTGCAGCCTTCTGACTAAAAACACGTAATTAAGTTAATATCCCAAATATTACCTTGTTTTCGGAAGGGGTATCAGTACAGTCCCTGAATGAAACGGTCCCATATAAAATTTATTCTATACATAACCTTGACAATATAGGTACATGTTTTGGCATAATCCCCACACAAAGGTGACACTGCAATTTATGTAGTCGGGAGGACCTAGTCCCATCTTCCAACATAAGTAGCTGTAATCTGTCATTATACCCTTCACCACACTGTGGTACTGTGACACATGTTTCCTTTTGAGAATATGCATAGAATCACTTTTTAAGTCGATTTATGAATATCCGTCTGTCCGTCCGTCCATGTATGTGAACAAAGTACAGGTCGCATTTGTGATCCGACTGGGATGACATTTGGCACAATTCACTTATTTGGCCCTAGGACGAACCCTATTGAAATTGGGAAAAATCGGTTCAGATTTGGATATAGCTCCCATATATATTTTCGTCCGATTTAATGTAAATGGTGCAATAAAGTCCCTATACATACATAGATTTGCATGAAATTTGGCACAGCTTACTGAATTAAGCCTTGAAAGACGTGTGTTAATTTTGCTGAAAATCGGTTTAGATTTAGATATAGCACCAAAATGCACCAAAGTCTCTATATATCTTTCGATTTGCACGCAATTTAGAGCAGCGTACTGAATTAAGTTTAGAAAGATGTGTGTTAAATTTCGTGAATATAGGTTCAGATTTAGATATAGCTCCCATATATATGTTCGACCGCTTTAATGTAAATGGTGTACCAAAGTCCCTATATATCTTTCGATTTGCACGAAATTTGACATAGCGTACTGAATTGAGACTAGAATGATGTGTGCATTTTTTTTTTTTTTTGAAAATCGGTTCAGATTTAGATATATCTCCCATATATATGTTCGAACGATTTAATGTAAATTGTGTACCAAAGTCTCTATATATCTTTCGATTTGCACAAAATTTGTCATAGCATACTGTCTAGAATGATGTGTGTTAAGTTTCGTGAAAATCGCTTCAGATTTAGATATAGCTCCCATATATATGTTCGTTCGATTTTATGTGCTTGGTGCACCAAAGTCCCTATATATCCTTCGATTTGCATAAAATTTGGCATTGCGTTCTGAATTAAGTCTAGAACGATGTGTTTTAAATTTCGTGAAATTCGGCTCAGATTTAGATATAGCTCCCATATATATTATCGTCAGTTTTTGTTTAAATGATGCACCAAAGTCCATATATATCCTACCATTTTCCCGAAATTTGGATTTATAAGAAAATGAAGAACTCAAAATGTGGCAGAACATGTGACAAGTTTCGATGAAATCGGTTTAGATTTCGATATTTTGCTTTAAATATATTTACATAATTTTGTCCCATTGTAAGAAGCAACTCTATATCTGACCAAAATTAGTATAGGTTTGCAGAATAACATGTTTAATTTTATGTTAATGGTCCTTCAAAAATGCGACGTCTGTTAGGATCCCATCTGTTGAATACACCCAAAGTGGTGAAGGGTATCATATAGTCGGCCCCGTCCGACTTTACTACTTTCCTTACTGGTTTTTATATATCAAAGGCGATGGGCAAAAAATTTGCAATAAAGGTCCCTATTTTGACATTGAATCCCGCCTTTCTGTTCTAATTTAGTCATAGCCCTCATAGTATTTTATTTTCTCCTGGTCCCTATCGATTTTATGTATTTATTGTCTCATAGTGAATTTTTGGTTTTTATTGCCCGAACATAACGATATTGTAACGTGTCTATATTAGCCGATTCCTTAAGTTAGCCCATTTTTTCAAATAAGGTCTATCACCACCCCTATTCGGGAATCATTTATTTGATTTATTTACAAAATCGAATTCCATAAGAAATCGAGACACTATAATTTCGAACATAATTACAAAGCTAATTTCCGACAGGACTTGTCGTACTCAACAAAAAAACTCGACAATTTATTCACCCATTTAGTATTTATTTTTTGGCCACTAAAACTAACAAAACCCTAAACTAAAGGTTATTTGTCTATTGACTTAGTATATATATGTATGTACAAATATAAAATTTGAATTGAATTTGAAATGAAAGGAAGGTGAAACCGAACCGAAAAGAAGGTGAGGTTTTGTGTTGATTCCCACCCAAGCCAGTGCAATAGAATTGCGAAGACTCCTACTTTTAACACATGCAAATGTTTGAAAATGTTAGGAAAAGACATTTGTAAGGAAATATTTGCCTTGCGGAATGCCAACATATCGCTGCCGTCCCGCCATTTGCCTCAGAAAAGGTATTATTTTCTATGGCGAGACATAATTTCAAGTCTAGCCTTTATTTTTTTCTGGTATTTTATCGTAAATTTGTGGGCTTTGGTATATTACAATTTTTTATTTGTTACTTACATTGTTGTTATTTTCTTGGTTCTAATTTCTTATTCTTCTTCTTCTTACTTTTTTTGTCCCTTAGTAAAACCACTTGAAGTGAAAATAATTGACCCACCCAATTCAATGGTGGCCGATAGACGCTATGAGGTAACATGTGAATCAACCGGTTCCCGACCAAATGCCATCATTACCTGGTATAAAGGAAAAAGGCAATTACGCCGAACGAAGGTAAGTCGTAATTTTGTGTGAGTGTTATTTTGTACTCTCAAAAAAGTGAAAAAATGTAAGTGAAATGGAAAAAGGTAGCAAATAATATGTTTGACGAACAAACGATATACTCGTACATATAAATGTTGGAAAATTTTCATGAGCATAACATGAAGTTGGGGTTTCAAATTTATACTACGTTTTTGGGTCTCGAAGAAAAGTACTAAGGTTGCGGATATTATGGGCAACAATAAAAACAGAATGAAAGGGATAACTAACATTATTATGCATGTCACTGTGTGTTAGTAATGTAATTTTATGGTGTACACTCGAGAAAAATATTTTTATACCCTTTACCACACTGTGGACAGGGTATTATGTGTTTGTGCATATGTTTGTAACAGGCAAAAGGAAGCGAGATAGACACATGGTTCCTTTTGAGATTATGCATAGAATCACTTTCTGAGTCGATTTACGCATGTCCGTCCGTCTGTCCATGTATTTTTGTGAACAAAGTACAGGTCGTATTTATAATCCGATTTGGATGAAATTTGGCTCCCATATATATTTTCGTCCGATTTAATGTAAATTGGTTCAGATTTAGATATAGCTCCCATATATATTTTCGTCCGATTTAATGTAAATGGTGCAAAAAAGTCCCTATATGTCTTTCGATTTGCACGAAATTTGGCACTGCGTAATGAACTAGGTCTAGAATGATGTGTGTTAAGTTTCCTGAAAATCGGTTCAGATTTAGATATAGCTCCCATATATATTTTTGTCCGATTTAATGTAAATGGTGCACCAAAGTCCCTTAATATCTGTCGATATGCACGAAATTTGGCACAGCGTTATGAACCAGGTCTAGAATGATTTGTGTTAAGTTTCCTGAAAATCGGTTCAGATTTAAATATTGCTCCCATATATATTTTCGTCCGATTTAATGTAAATGGTGCACCAAAGTCCATATATGTCTTTCGATTTGCACGAAATTTGGCACAGCGTAATGAAATAGGTCTAGAATGATTTGTGTTAAGTTTCCTGAAAATCGGTTCAGATTTAAATATAGCTCCCATATATATTTTAGTCCGATTTAAGAAAAATGAAGCACCAAAGTCCCTATTAATCTTTCGATTTGGCACAGGGTACTGAATTAAGTGTAGAATGATGTGTGTTAAGTTTACTGAAAATCGGTTCAGATTTAGATGTATATATTTTCGTCCGATTTAATGTAAATGGTGCACCAAAGTCCCTATATGTCTTTCGATTTGCACGAAATTTGGCACAGCGTAATGAATTAGGTCTCGAATGATGTGTGTTAAGGTTCCTGAAAATCGGTTCAGAATTAGATATAGCTTCTATATCCGACCAAATGAAAAATTTAGTATTGGTTGCAGAATGACATGTTTATGGATCGAATTTCATTTTACTGGTCCTTTAAAAATGCGACGTCTGTTAGGATTTATCTGTTGAATATACCCAAAGTGGTGAAGGGTATCATATAGTCTGCCCCGACCGACTTTGCTACTTTTCTTATTGGTTTCAACGTGGATTTATTAAAGAAGACTTTTCCCTACGACCATCCAAGGCGTGGATTCATTAAAGAAGACTTTTCAACGACCATCCAAGGCGTGGATTTATTAAAGAATACTTTTTTCAATGACCATCCAAGGCGAGGATTTATTAAAGAAGACTTTTTGCAACGACCATCTAAAGCGTGTATTTTTGACGCAATTTTTCTTTAGGTGTTTTTCTAATACCCCGCAGTGTGACCATAAAAAAATTAAGGCTAACTTCCTAAAAGCACTTATAAATCGCTAAGTGTATTGGATATACACACTAGAATTTTAAACTGTGTGCCTTGTGTGTATGTATGCCTGCAACTGTATTGGCTCACCCGTCCAACAATTGTCATTATATTGGTCTATATCATTTCATTTCATTCCACTTCCATTGCAATGCATTTGCAGCGCGGTTGACTACTTTGTGACTATTTGGTAACTAAGTAGTGAAGTATTTATGGATGACCGCATGCAATTTGCACAAAATAAGTGCACGTAAATTGAACGTTTGTCTTTGTTTACTGGTCATGTTAGGCAATCGGCCAGACTAGGCGGGCAGTCAGCGAACTAGCAATGTAGACAGTACGATTTGTTCTTTAAAAAAAACTACAGAATAAAACAGCAAACACTGAGTTTGCCTAGGACTTTACTTTGGTGTGCTAGACTAGACTTGGCGGGAATTTCAAAAACGTTTATTTTGTTAAAGAGTTCGGAACTAGGTAGGGGAGTCAGAATGAAAAAATAGAAAACAAAGAAGGAGAAGAAAAAACGAATACTAAATGTAGTCGTAACCATTGACAGACTGTGCGCCAGGACGTCAGGACGCATATCTACTAACGTAAAATCGTTACAATGCAATTGTTTATTTGTTTACTATCGCTTGATGATAGCTAACGGCAGGGTGCTTTCTAGCTACGGTAAAAGGTATACTTCATTTCGAAGTCATTTTATTAAAGCATGATTGAGTTTGTTTGGATTTGGAATGCTTTAAGGTATTTAAAAAATAATTTTTTAGATAAAATTTTTTTAAAAAATCAAAGGCGTGGATTTTTTAAAAATATTTTTGTAAGTCGTATCAAAGGCGTGGATTTTTAAAAAATAATTTTTTAAGTCATATCAAAGGCGTGGATTTAAAAAAAAAAATTTTTTAAGCCATATCAAAGGCGTGGATTTAAAAAAAAAGAATTTTAAGGCCCATATAAGGCGTGGATTTAAAAAAAAAAGAATTTTTTAAGCCATATCAAAGGCGTGGATTTTTAAAAATATTTTTTTAAGTCATACCAAAGGCGTGGATTTTTAAAAAAAAATATTTTTAAGTCATATCAAAGCCATGGATTTTTAGAAAATTATTTTTTAAGTCATATCAAAGGCGTGGATTTTTAAAAAATAATTTTTTAAGTCATATCAAAGGCGTGGATTTTTAAAAAATTATTTTTAGGTCATATCAAAGGCGTGGATTTAAAAAAAAACATTTTAAGCCATATCAAAGGCGTGGATTTTTAAAAAATAATTTTTTAAGTGCTATAGGCGTGGATTTTTTAAAAAATATTTTTTTAAGTCATATCAAAGGCGTGGATTTTTAAAAAATAATTTTTTAAGTCATATCAAAGGCGTGGATTTTTAAAAAAATATTTTTAGGTCATATCAAAGGCGTGGATTTTTAAAAAATAATTTTATAGGTCATATCAAAGGCGTGGATTTTTAAAAAATAATTTTTTAGGTCATATCAAAGGCGTGGATTTTTAAAAAATAATTTTTTAGGTCATATCAAAGGCGTGGATTTTTAAAAAATAATTTTTTAGGTCATATCAAAGGCGTGGATTTTTAAAAAATAATTTTTTAGGTCATATCAAAGGCGTGGATTTTTAAAAAATAATTTTTTAGGTCATACCAAAATAATTCTTATGTTATACCAAAGGCGTGGATTTTTAAAAAATAATTTTTTAGGTCATACCAAAATAATTCTTATGTTATACCAAAGGCGTGGATTTTTAAAAAATAATTTTTTATGTCATACCAAAATAATTCTTATGTTATACCAAAGGCGTGGATTTTTAAAAAATAATTTTTTAGGTCATACCAAAATAATTCTTATGTTATACCAAAGGCGTGGATTTTTAAAAAAAATATTTTTTAGGTTATACGAAAGGCGTGGATTTTTAAAAAATAATTTTTTCGAACCTGCTATAGGCGTGGATTTTTTAAAAAATATTTTTTCGAACCTACCATAGGCGTGGATTTTTAAAAAATAATTTTTTAGGTCATATCAAAGGCGTGGATTTTTAAAAAAATAGTTTTTTAGGTTATACCAAAGGCGTGGATTTTTAGAAAATATTTTTTTTATGTTATACCAAAGGCGTGGATTTTTTGGATTTAAAGGCGTGGATTTTTAAAAAATAATTTTTTAGGTTATACCAAAGCGTGGATTTTTAAAAAATAATTTTTTAGGTCATATGAAAGGAGTGGATTTTTATAAAATAATTTTTTAAGTCATATCCAAGGCATGGATTAAAAAAAAAATTTTTTTAAATCATATCAAAGGCGTGGATTTTTAAAAAATAATTTTTTAGGTCAATGGTGTGTATTTGTAAAAAATAATTTTTTAGGTCAATGGTGTGGATTTTTAAAAAATAAATTTTTAAGTCATATCAAAGGCGTCGATTTTTAAAAAAAATTTTTTAAGTCATATCAAAGGCGTCGATTTTTAAAAAATAATTTTTTTAAGTCATATCAAAGGCGTGGATTTTTAAAAAATAATTTTTTAGGTTATACGAAAGGCGTGGATTTTTAAAAAAATAATTTTTTAGGTTATACCAAAGGCGTGGATTTTTAAAAAAATAATTTTTTAGGTTATACCAAAGGCGTGGATTTTTAAAAAAATATTTTTTTAGGTTATACCAAAGGCGTGGATTTTTAAAAAATAATTTTTTAGGTTATACCAAAGGCGTGTATTTTTAAAAAATAATTTTTTAAGTCATATCAAAGCCGTGGATTTTTAAAAAATAATTTTTTAAGTCATATCAAAGGCGTGGATTTTTAAAAAATTATTTTTAGGTCATATCAAAGGCGTGGATTTTTACAAGAAAAAGTTTTAAACATATTTTTCCAAAACACATGAATTGCCTGGATTTTTTAAAAAATAGTTTTAAAAATATTTTTCCAAACCACATGAAAGGCCTGGATTTTTTAAAAAATAGTTTTAAAAATATTTTTCCAAACCACATGAAAGGCCTGAATTTTTTAAGAAATAGTTTTAAAAAAATATTTTTCCAAACCACATGAAAGGTCTGGATTTTTTAAAAAATAGTTTTAAAAATATTTTTCCAAACCACATGAAAGGTCTGGATTTTTTAAAAAATAGTTTTAAAAATATTTTTCCAAACCAGATGAAAGGTCTGGATTTTTTAAAAAATAATTTTTAAAGGCGTGGATTTTTAAACAAATGTTTTAAGAATATTT